GGATTTGTATGGGATGGGGATGGGACATGCCATGGGATTTGAATGGGATCCATATGGGATGTACATGGGATGGATGTGCTGTGGGATTTGTATGGGATGGGGATGGATGTGCCATGGGATCCAAATGGGATATACATGGGATGGGATGTGCCATGGGATCCAAATGGGATCCATATAGGATGCAGATGGGATATACATGGGATGGATGTGCCATGGGATTTGAATGGGATCCATATAGGATGCAGATGGGATCCACATGGGATGGATGTGCCATGGGATTTGAATGGAATCCATATGGGATGGGGATGGAATGTGCCATGGGATGTACATGGGATGGATGTGCTGTGGGATTTGTATGGGATCCATATGGGATGCACATGGGATGTACATGGGATGGATGTGCCATGCGACTTTTATGGGGTGGAGATGGGATGGGATGTGGATGGGATGTCTATGGGATGCATATAGGGTACATATGGGATGCACAGTGTCCAGCACACCGCCGTGTCCCTTCACCCCATAGGTGACCTCCAACCTGGGGAAGCTGATCCTAAAGGAGGAGATGGAGAAATCCCTCCCCATCCGGAGGAAAACCCGCTCGCTGCCGGACCGGACGCCCTTCCACACGTGTATGTGGGGTGCAGCGTCCCGCCAAGACCCCTTTTATCCTCTCCAACCCCCCCACCCCCATCGAGACCCCTTTTATCCCCCACCCCATAACGCCTCTCCTCTCCCGCAGCGCTGCACATGGGCAGCTATAAGAGCTCCTCGCTGCCCGCCTCCGGCCGCAGCACCCTCACCAGGGTGAGTGGGAGCACTGACCCCATAACGACGGGATTGGGGTCAGGGTGGTGGTGGGGCTGCTGGGTTTGGGGTCGGGGTGGTGGTGGTACTGCTGGGTTTGGGGTCAGGGTGGTGGTGGTACTGCTGGGTTTGGGGTCGGGGTGGTGGTGGGGCTGCTGGGTTTGGGGTCAGGGTGGTGGTGCTGCTGGTTTTGGGGTCAGGCTGATGACAGTACCAAGGTTGGGGTGATGGGTTTTGGGGTCAGGCTGATGACAGTACCAAGGTTGGGGTGATGGCAGTGCTGGGTTTGGGGTCAGGGTTGTGGTGCTGTTGGGGTTGGGGTGGTTGTAGCTCTGGGTTTGGGGTTGGGGGAGCAGTTCCAGTTCTGGGTTTGGGGTGGTGGCAGTGCCAGGGTTGGGGTGGTGATGGTGCTGGGTTTGGGGTCAGGGTGGTGGTGCTGCTGGTTTTGGGGTCAGGCTGATGACAGTACTAGGGTTGGGGTGATGGCACTGCTGGGTTTGGGGTCAGGGTGGTGATACCCCTGGTTTTGGGGTTGGGGTTGTGGCACTGTTGGGGTCGCGGTGGTGACAGCACTGGATTTGTGGTCACTGTGGTGATGGCAGCGCTGGGTTTGGGTTTGGGGGCAGTTCCAGTGCTGGGTTTGGGGTCGGGATGGTGATACCTCTGGGTTTGAGGATGGGGCGATGGCAGCGAGGGGTTTGGGGTCAGGGTGGCAACAGTTCTGGGTTTGGGGTCGGGTGGTGGCAGTGCTGGGTTTGGGGTGGTGACAGCACTAGGTTTGGGGTCAGGATGGTGGTACCCATTGGGTTTGGGGTCAGGGTGGCACTGCTGTGATGCTGTTCCCGTCCCTTTGCAGCTGCAGTCAGCAGAGTTCAGCTCAACGAGCAGCGAGAAGGGGAGTCCAGGTGAGCACCACACTATTATGGGATGGGGACA